GCTTCTGCAAAAAAGCAGTGGAGGGAAGCCATCTGTATGCAGCTAGCTATAGTCAAGGTTCAAGGTTCAAGTTTCAAGGTTCAAGGTTTCTTTATTTGTACCTTCATAGATTAATTTGTTGTGCAAGACAGGAGATTCAGCACTCCATTAGATACACACAACACATAACAAATTCAAGGTTAAAAAGACCAGACAGAATACATCAGAACAAACATTTTCAAAGAGCAGAGTCCTTACACAGACAACAAATCAAAAGTGTAAGATCGGACATGTAACTGCAGGAGCTGGGGATCGAACCTCCAACCTTCCGGTTGAGAGACGATGGACTCTATCAACTGAACACAAACCTGACAGATAGAGTGAAGAAGCCACTTGTCTTGGATAATAGAGCTTGCCTTAAACTGCAGCTGTTAAGAATACAATTCTGACAGGTTTGATTGAGACTCATCTTTAAATTTGCTCGCCCGTTTCAGGATTTAATTAAGAGTGTTTCTGTTTTTAAAAGTCAGAATTGATTGAGTGACCCTTTATACTAATTAATCAGAAAAAAAATCTGAGAATAAAAATCTCTTTTTTTAAGAGTGTCCTGGCCAAGACAGGCAGCAGCACAATTTTCAGAGTTTCTGACAAACAACGTGCTGCCTTAAATACTAATATAATACATAACTATTAAAAACCAAAATATACAAAATAACAAATTTAATCCTCAAATAGTTGTCAATATCGCCCACAAACATGCATATATCAGAAGGGAACATCTACAGCCAGATGTGTCCTCTTCCAAGTCATTTAACATCCTCTTAAAACATGACAGCAGCTAGTTAGGTTCAGGTATTTTGTAGTTTGAAGTTTTTTTATTTCATTATTTTGTCACATACATTCATATGCCTAGCCCGCATGGGTTTACGTGACACCATAAATTAAAACGTTCCAGGATCAGAGTGCATTAGGTAAACTATGTTCATTGGTAAGAAACAAAAGAGAAAGCAAAAGCAAGTCAAACTAATTAAACAGAATATCCTGTCTTCTTTTCCAGGCTTTTGAAACAAAATGATTCAACTTAAACAGCCATTCCAGTTTTTGCACATCTGTCCATCCCAGATGTAATTCCTTCCAAGTAACAGGGGCAGCAACTTAAACAACTTTTTCCCCAGTTCAGTTCCCACTTTTGAACAGACAGCGAGAAAGTTTGTGAGAAGATTATGAGTTCCTCTTTCTCATCTGACTGATGGAGGTCAGGAGGTATGACAGAAAATGAAGTGATGAAAGGAGTGATGAACCGCAGAACTCTGTGATACAGAGTCCAGAGTTACCTTGAGAAACAGTGTGCATATGTTTCACATCACAATTGTTCAGCACAGGCAGAAAAGTGGCAGCAACCAGTCCCTACAAGATTGATGCCTGACTTTCTCATCCCCACCGTGCCTCCGCCATTATCCTCTGTGTCACAGTCAAAATTGAACTGAGAAGCTGGGCTGAAACACTCTTAATGTTCTGTTATGTCCCATGAACTGAGACATTAAGAGCAAGTTATGCAGTGTTACTAGATCAGAGCATTGA